ACTCAGCGAGATCCTGTCTCTAAATAAAATATGTAAAAGGGGCTGGGAGTGCGGCTCATTGGTTAAACATCCCTGGGTTCAATCCCCAGTACAAAAGAAAAGAAAAAGAAAGCAAGCCCATACTTATTAGCAGTGATTGACTTGATTTGTAACTGATCACTTGTTCTACAAGCTTTTGAACATTCTGAATCAGAGAAGCTTTGTTCTTATGGCCAACAGTCGAGACCCGCATTTCCTGACTATATTTCCTCTTGCCGTCTCTGTTCTTGTTTCATTCCTGTGCACCTGCTGTTTTCAGTTGCTCTACACCCCCATTTCTGTTTTCTTTTATTCCATCCAAAGACTTGAAAGCATTGACTCTTCAGTGTGAGAATTTGCATTGCTCATATTTTTTCTTGCAACCTGACACTCATACTCAAGCCTAAATTCATTCAGCCTTACCAAGGTGTGGGAAATGAAAACCATTCTATCCAGGCTAAAAACCATATCCATACATGTATAGCTTGGGTCAAAACTCTTAGAAACTGAGAGCTAATAATGGCACAAAGAAACACACCATATAGAAAGTATTAAAGTTCACCATCTCCTATTAAAAAAATGTAGCAAGCGATAAACCGTTATTCTGTAGTCTTAAGTAATATAAATGAGGAATCCTCTTAGATAAATTTCTGTTATTTTTATTTAGAGGATTAAATTATTTCTTAGAAACACATGACTTAAGGTTCCTGTGATCCTGGAGAAATTTCAATGGCAACACAAGAACTGGCTTCCCTAGAACAGGAATGGTATGGAAAAGGCAGAGTGGTCAGATAAGCCTGCATCCCCCACCAGATGTTATTACCATGTCAGTAAAATGCCGTGCAGAGACCGCAGAGCCGGAGGCAACAGAGACCTTGAGATCATTCACTCCTATTTACATAGGAAGGACAGAGCCCAGGTCCCTAGCCAGGTAGTAAGAGACCAGAGTTTAAAGGACCACCTGCAACTAATGCCTGGAGAGTAGAAAACAGTCTCTGGACACCCCAACATCACCAACACCCACATATTGCCAACACCACATATTGCCAACACCCACACATCACCAACACCCACACAGCAAGATTTGTAATCCAAACAGAAAGAGAAACAGCTCCAAGTTAGTCTGGAACTGGAATAGGAGAGAATACTAGGAATGTCAGGTTTATCTCTATTCTCAAGAAAGCCCAAGATAATTCTCAACCAGGATCTAAGAGCTATACAAAGGCGGCTGTGATTTCCAGCTGGATAAGGGCTGGAGCCAGACTCACCCCGGGGGCTTGGGGCTGTCAATGAGATGACAGAAGCTCTACTTCCTCTCTGAATAATGGGATGGCTGTGGCCCCCACTAACCATGACAGCGCCACACGGGAGGACCCTTTCCTGGGTCCTTCAGTGGTCCCGGGCATGCGGCACCTTGCCTTACCCACTGCTCCAATACATCAGGCTCTAGTGGCCACAGACGCAGCTGAAAACTTGGGATTTTGCCCAGTTCACATCACCAAAATAGCTCTTGCAAAAGCAAAAAGTCAACAGTGTGGTATACTGGCCTCAAAAGTGAAAAATGTTTTCAGTACCAAGAAGACAGAGCTTTCTTTATAGTCATTTAATCCCTTGCTTTTAGATGACACTTGGGTTTAATAGGAGGATTCTTGGGTTTATTAAGCAGTGGCCACAACATAGCAGTTCCTCCTGTTTAATCCGGGATACCATAATAGGAACCCGGAGTCAGTGTGAATCTGCATTAAACCTCACAGGGGTTCAACTGCTGCATCTGCAGACAGAGTAATTAGACCAGGAAGTGCCTTCTAGCCCTAAAACTGGGCTGCACTGGCACAACCCACCCAGTGTCTGGGTTGGTGCCACAAGTGTTCACCAGGAGACTGCTAAAGGCCTGCACTGCTGGGGACAGGATCACAATGCAAACCAGACACAAATTTGGCTACTGAGAAACTCATAGTCCTGTAACTTACCTATGGATTGAGATCGACTTTCTTCTTTGAGTGTAAGACATTAAGGCATGAAGCAGGAAGTGTTTGGGAAGGATTAACTTCAAGAATCGTAATACAAGATACTAAAGAAACCTCTTTTTTTAAATATACCTCTTTGTTTTAAATATACCTCTTTGTTTTAAATACCTGCTTCTGAATTTGCCATCCTAGGGAAGATAGAGCAGCTGGTTGGTTATTTTAGAAGTTGCCCTGCTTTTTCCCTTATAATGATATTCCCACTGTACTTGAAACGACTCCTCCAGGCCCACAAGCACATGTTACATGCCTTAGGTTAAAAATGCAAATATGAGAATACAGGCTATTCCAGTAGCCCAATATGCCATTTGGGGCTAGTGGAAACAAACCAAAACAAAGCACTAATTAACAAAACCCGTCAATAGCACATCTTGTCAGAGGGAAGGAATGTAGAGCAAATGCACCCTAAACCATTTTCATAGTCATCACAACCTTTGGAAAACATGGAAAGTTCCAGAAGTGTGGATATTGCAACCAGATTCCACCTCCATGGTTCAGTGACAGAGACATAACCTCCTGCTGAAAGGAGGGATGTTGTGGTTAACCCCACAAGTGACAAAGGCTCACCCTGGTCCCTGATGTATAAGCACTTGGTTTTCACTGCGGTGGCAAAAGGTGCAATGAAAATATCTAGCACCCCTGCAGGGGTGCCCCTTTATCATGAGCAAAACTGGCTGCCCTTCAGAAGCCCTGAAGCTGCAACTTTCCTCGTGAGCATAACAGACATAGCTGGCCAGAGACACTTTCAGAAACTCCTAGCTGCAAGACAAAGGAAATGACTCAGCCTGCCCCCAGAGTGCAAGGACAACAGAGGGGAAAGAAAATTCCAAATCAAACAGTACACATGCATATTTTCCCAAGGCAATAGGCCCAGATTCTCTGACAGTACTCCGGGGCTATTTTCGTTGTTGTGTTTGTTTTGCTTTGCTGTTTAAAATTTATGTGCCAATACACAGTGGATGGGAACCTTTTTAGCAGACGTGATCTCTATCAAAGCAGACCAGCAAATATAAAACACGGCCCACCGTCATATAATAGCAAAAATTCCTATTAAAAATTCACTTGCAATCTGTGGGACTTTCTGGAACTTACACCTACCCCCTGAGTATATGAAATGACTCCTGGCATTGGCTGGACTAGGACTTCTGGACACCCTAAGAAGTGAAGCGATAACCCCACCCCCTGCTATATGTACTTACCAAAAAAGAACATTTTATGCAAGCCAAAATTAAAGTTGCCCATATCTAGATTTTTTAAATGGTAAAATCTAGAGAAATTCATAAGAGAGAACTTTTAGTGCCTCTTCTTGACTGACTAAGCCTGGGCTTCAACTGCTTGCTAGATAAGCCATCTATGAAGGGTGGTCAGTGCCTCCTCCATGTTCAGTGTGAGATTAAAATCATACCTCTGTGATCACGCGTCATGGGTTTTTAATAAACTTCTTCAAAGGGATGAAATGCATGGGTTTGAATTAACTTAAAGGTCCTGCTTTGACAAAACGAAACAAAACAAAAAACCTGAACTGGTTTCAAGGCCACGGGTCAATGGATTCCTGGCTTGCTCAGTTTGTGTGAAGTCAAAGGAATTCAGGACAAAATACCGTTGTTGTCCCAACAGAACAACTGAAAAAGTTTGCTTTCTTGTATGTGAAATGCTTTCCTGCTTAAGGCAGCCCCATTCAGGTTCCAGCTCAGAGCTTAATGTCTTAACAATCAGGAACCTGAAGATGCATTCCCAATCCGACAGAAGGCAACTCAAGCTTGCTTACGAACACCCAGGACAGAGAAGGTACACAAGCAAGGTCTAGGAAGGAAGATCATGTGGAAATAAAGCATTCTCCTTGCTGCCCAGTTCCTTAACACTTTAGTGGCTAATTATCAAAAATCCTCCTCTGACCTGCTCCCTTCTAAGCAGCCCATAGCACCGTCGATTACTAGTGCAGGAAAGTCAGAGGGCAAATGATCTTCTTCTTATAGCAGGTTTCATTCTATGGAATAGCTTTAGAGCTTCTTCACATTATAGCAAAGAATTTGTTTGCATGTTCCACTATAAATACCTTCATTAAACAAGTATTTATTTTGTGTCTACTAAGTGTCGCTAGGAAGACACCAGGAAGCAGGAAGGACAAGGTCCTTGCTCAATCTGATTCAGAGAAGATAAAGCCCCCATCTGCTATGAACTGGATACCTCTCACCAGAGAGGGAGCCTTCTTCCAGAGCTTGGTATACAATGAAGAGTCCATTTGGGAAGAAAATTAAAAGCATTTCTATTACCATGAAAACATCTTAGAATCTCCAGTGTCCTCAAACATATATAAAATCATGTCTCCCAAACAAATGTCCCTATTTATAGCAAGTAAACATGTTTCTAAGCATGAATAGAAATGGGAAAATAAGGCTCATGTCCACATAGGTTTCCTTGGGGTATACTCATCCTATTTCTAAAATGGCAAAAAAGTGTTGGACTATTATATAAAAATGATCTAAAGGATCAAATTATCTAAGCATTTAAAGTGACATTATTCACTAACAAATGATCTGTTCAAACAGAAAAAAAAATATTTCCTCTAACTCTTTATATGGCAAATTTTTTATGCACTGTATCCTAAATGCTCCAGCTGTGCTAAACCACAGCTGTTAGACTTAGTAAAAACACCACCTTAGATAATTGTAATCATTAGTGAAAGGAGCTAATGACATTTTGAAGCTGTCACTTTTTTTCTTTTGAATACATGAATAATTCCAAACCTTTTCATAACCTGTAAAATGATTTATACTGCCTAAATGAGGAAGATTATTACATCTTTTAGTCATCTCTAACCTTTTCCTACAGTCATCTACCACATTTTTATTTACCCCAGATAAAACATCAACATGGGTCACCATAAATGATATTTTTCAGTTGCAAATTTGATTCCATTGTCCAAAGGTAAAAACAAAAAAACAAAAAACAAACCAATAAACTTATTTAAAGTGTTTATTCTTTCAAGGGTTGTTCTCTTGTGCTCCTTAATGCCTTACAAGAGTAAAATCATTTAAAAATGAGAGTTTCATGCTCTGGAATTCCATACTTCCCCTTGTGCTCCTCAAATAATTTCCTTAGTTCCTCCATATAGGTCTGATGCAGCTCTTCAATCTGCTCTGGCGTTGGGTGCAGAGTCTGCTGAACGGGAATGGGGCGGCCAACTGCAAAAATAGACAATACATCATGCGTGAGGAACCAGAAGCACTCCACACAGCCTCCTGCCTCTAATGGACAGCTGTGGGAAGACCTGCCAATCAGAAGCCCCACAACGGCTCACTCCAATCCTTCCTTCATTTTACTGGCTGCCTACAGCGGTCACACCATCCCACTCATTAACAAATGCAGGACTTTCCTTCCCAGCAGACACAGGGTTGTCAGTCTCCTTGTGGTTTTGACTTTGAGTCAAAGGAGCTACTGTGCTGACTGCAGCTGTGAGGTAAGTGTGCATAGCTGTGTGTCCACATCACCAGCATTGTCCCTCTGGCACAGCTGTCAGCCAGACCACAGTGCTGTCATTATTACTGAGCAAGAAATCCTCAAGTCATGTAGCATCCCTCTATTCTGCCTCCTGTTAATGTCTTCCTAAATAATGAAAATGTACCTAACCTCACAGTTAAGTCCTGCGCTAGAGAAACGCAGAGTCATAAGGACTCCGCTGTTTGTAATAGTGGAAATCTACAAAGCAACTAAAAGTTTCAACAGAAATAAAAATTCTTAAGTAAACCATGCAACATTCATTCAGTGAAATCCTAGGCATCGACTTCTTAAAAGGGAAAATAATATAAATATGAAATGTGTACAAACACAAAAGCATAAAATGTGTTAAGTGGAAAAAATAAGCTGTAAGATAAAGTATGATCCTATTTATGAAAAACAATTCATATTTCTAAGTGCATTAATGACTTTAGTGCATAGGGGGAAAAGTATGGAAAGATGCTAACAGTTCCTTGTAGGTGAGGAGGTAGGGATGGGGGAACTTCCATTTTACCTGTATTTTATGAATTTATTACAAGTAACAAAATATTTGTGTTTTGCCTGTTTAGTTAAAAACATAGTAATGAATCCAAAATAAATCTTGTAGCTTCTATACATATTTTAAAAGAATTTTATATAATAAGTGACTTACACCTCACTTGTAGAGAATATAAAAATGCACAAGACTTTGGTGCTTGCACTTACTCCACCCCCTACTGGTCTGATGCTGCTACTGATGTGAAGGGTTGAAGATGGCAAGAGAGTCAACCGCAGGGCCAGCAGCAAACTGCTATTTCTGACCTTTGGTTAACTTGGGCAAGAAGTCAATACATGAAGCTGTAAGCAAAGAAGTTAACACACACTGGAGAGGGTTCTTTTATGTTACCCTGAGTCATGCCTTGCTACATACAGGGCTCAGATCTATGCTGGTAATAGAAGGTGGGTAGTTAATAAACACTGAGCAAAGGTAACAGAGCAGAAGGAAAGTGATTAATGACATTAGCATGGACATGGAGAAAGGAATGATATACACACCCTAATGGCAGCATCGATAATCTCAAACTGCTAAAGATTTCACCAGAGACAGCCGCCAGAAGCTTATAAACAATTTTTTTTATAGTTTGTAAGTCAAACTTATAATAGTAGTCATCAGTCCTTTAGAACTCATCATCCCAGAGGTGGAACACCTTCAAAAACTTAGAGTATACAATATAATTCTAGGGGGCTGGAGTCGTGGCTCAGTGGTAGAGCGCTTGCCTAGCATGCATGAGGCACTGGGTTCGATTCTCAGCATCACCTATAAATAAATAAATAAAGGTCCATCAACAACTAAAAACATATATATTTTAAAAGATAATACAATTCTATAATGATGATTATATAATTATAATATATTATAATAATATATCATATAATAATTATGTTATAATAATATATAATATATTATATATTATGTTATAATAATAATATGTAAAGTCTAGATTATGATTTCCAAAGTATTTAAATGCAACCGTGTCAATTTCATTGAAATAGTCGAGAATTGAAAACTTGGAACTCAATGGTTAACTCAGCATAAGGAACCGGAAACAACCATCGTGCTGTTGATGGTGACTGGAAATATGGACTAGGAGAGGCTGGTGTGGTGAGGGGGTGGAATTGGGAGGTGGTGTCCGACAAGCACCAGGTGGGTCTGGGTTTATTCTTAGTGCATCAGCAAGTGTGCTGAGCAACTAACTTTCTCTCTGTTCTTAAATCTTCACATGTCTGGGATAAAAGAGTAGAACTTAATTTGGAAGCGTCCTTCCAGCTCTGAACTTTGAGGAAAAGATTTTGAGAAATATCCATGTAAATCTACTAGCAAATTTGTGGTTTTATAGAAATAGCGGGTTTATTCTTAGTGAAACTATCCCAGTGAGAGGTCTTTGCAAGGCTTCAGGGTGGGTGGGGATTAACAGAGAGACAGGTGGTCTAAGAGGATGAAATGTGTTGCTCCCAGATTACTTTAATTAGGAGCTGTGCATTCTGAATTAGTGAGTCATCTTTCCTAGGAGCTTTCCTGCAGTTAATTCCAGTTCTGTTCTTTTCTTATTAATACTTTTATTGTATCTCAGATGATATTTTCAAAAAGCTCAAGTGGTGTGCCATATATAGTGACTTTAACATAAGGCTTTTCCCTATAACTGTAAGATGGACAGAGTCTGCTTGCCTTTCTCTTATTTATTTGTAGAGAAACCAAGGTGCTAAAAGTTACTAACTACATGCAAAAAAATTAATATTAAAACTAGAGGAGGAGCAGATGACCGCGACCCCAGCCCACCACATGGTAGGAGGAGAGCGACTCCGGCCGGCTGTGGGGTAGGAGGATGGGAACTGCTCTGTGGCTTCATCTACCAACACGTGGGGTGGCTTTACCCACTGGCTTCCACCTAGTGGCAACAGCCAGGACCATCTTCTAGGTTCCTGCAGGCAAGGTATTGGTAACCTGCAGGACACTACAAGATTATGAGATAGAAACTATAATACCTCAAATCCACACTGCTAGAGAGGAAGGCACAGGGACAACATGAAGAAACAAGGGAGGAGAGTGCCCAAAACTGATACAATAATAGATTCCACTGACAGCACAGTAGATGCAGTGTCAGAGAAGAAGTTCAGAATGTACATGGTTAAAATGATCTGCAAAGCAAAGAATGAAGTAAGAGAACAAATACAGGCAACAATTGACCACTCCAACAAAGAGATACAAGAGGGAATACAGGTAGCAAAATATTACTTCAAGAAAGAGATAGACAGAAATCCTTGAAATGTAGGAAAAATAAACCAAATAAAAATTCAATAGAAAGCATCAACCACAGACTAGATCATTGGAAGACAGAACTTCAGGCAATGAAAACAAAATATGTAATCATGAAAATAAAGTTGACCACACAGTGAAGATGGTGAGAAACCATGGAAAAGAACCTCCAAGAATTATGGGATGATAAGAAAAGACCAAATCTAAGAATTATTGCATAGAATAAGGCACAGAGATACAAACAAAAGGAATGGACAATCTAGTCAATAAAATAATATCAGAAAATTTCCCAAACATGAAGAATGAATTGGAAAATCAAATAAAAGAGGTTTATAGGACACCAAATGTACAAAAATTACAACAGATCCACACCAACGAATATTATAATAAAAATGCCTCGCATGCAGAATAAGGATAGAATTTTAAAAGCCATAAGATAAAAGTTTCAGATTACATACAGAAGGAAACCAATTCAGATCTCAGTAGATTTCTCAACCCAGACCATCAAACCTAGGACATCCTGGAACAACATATACCAGGCTCTGAAAGAAAATGGATGCCAACCAAGAATCTTATATCCAGCAAAATTAAGCTTCATATTTGATTGAAAAATAAAAACCTTCTATGATAAACAAAAATTAAAAGAATTAACCATGAGAAAGCCTGTACTACAGAATGTTCTCAGCAAAATATTCAATGAGGAGGAAATAAAAAACAACAATGAAAAGCAACAAAGGGAAGAACTACACTAAAGGAAATCCAATCAAAGGAGAAACCAAGTCAAGTTAAAAACCAAAAAGAAACCAAAATGACTGGGACTACAAACCATGTCTCAATAATAACCCTGAATGTAATGGCCTAAATCTATCAATTTAAAGGCATAGACTGGCAGATTGGATTAAAAAAATCCAACAATATGCTGCCTTTAAGAGACTCATCTCATAGGAAAAGATACCTATAGACTGAAAGGTGAAAGGATGGGAAAAAACATATCACATGTGCCACATAAACAAGCAGGGATTTCCATCCTAATATCAGATAAACCAAAGTTAGTCATAAGAGATAAAAAAAAAAGAACATTTCATACTGCTTAAGGAAACCATACATTAATAAGACATAACAATCATAAATATCTATGCCCCAAACAATGGAGGTTCTACATATATCAAACAAACCCTTCACAATTTCAAGAAGCAAATAGATCACAACACAATAATACTGAGTGACTTTAACACACTTCTCTCACCACTGGATAGATAGTCCAAACAAAAACTAAACAAATTACAGAACTCAATAATACAATTAATGACTTAGACTTAACATACATATATAGAGTATTTCATCCATCATCGAGTGAATACACCTTCTTCTCAGCAGCACATGGATCCTTCTCTAAAATAGACCATATTATGCCACAAAGAAACTCTCAGCAAATACAAAATAAATAAATAAATAAATAGAGATACTATCCTGTATTCTATCAGATCATAATGGAATAAAACTAGAAATCAATGATACAATAAAAAATAGTAGCTGCCCCAACACCTAGAGACTAAGTAATATGATGTTGAATAAGCAGTAGGTAACAGAAGACATCGGATAGGAGATGAAAGAATTCTTAGAGGTCAATGAGAACACCAATACAACATATCAAAATCTCTGGGACAGTATAAAGGCAGTGCTAAGAGGAATGTTCATTTCATTGAGCTCATTCATTAAAAGAATAAAAAGTCAACAAATAAATGACCTAACATTACATCTCAAAGCCCTAAAGAAAGAAGAACAAATCAACATCAAAAGTAGTAGAAGACAGGAAATAATTAAAATCAGAGCTGAAATCAATGAAATTGAAACAAAAGAAATAATTTTTAAAAATTGACAAAACAAAAAGCT